AAAAATGTTTATGATGCCTGATGAAAATTTGCAGCTTTGTCAATTAGACCTAATTTTATTTGGGCAATGAAGCATATTATTATTATTATCTTCACGACACCACATATTAATAAGCCGAAAAGAGGTAAAAAATCAAAATTTGGAAAAAATTAACAGCATCAATGTATAGAGTACAAAACATTAATTGAGAAAGGACGTTACAAAAATACATGACATTTAAACCGGCCAAACGTCAGAAACAACCCAATATCAGGCAATTACCCATCATTGGGACACCTTGTATAATCGTAAAAACGCATACCTACCTGTAAGGGGGATCTTTTGTAACGCACGAAACTTGGACGATGGCCCTGCCTTTATAACCAACAATCTGGATGGTGGGATAGGTTGGGTTATCGGGGGTGCTATTAAATAGAAGTAGCATAAGAGATACTCATATATTGTCTACGGTACCTTGGTGGGATTTCATTTGCTTCGCATGATGAGCTTTCGATTGGGCTTGTTCGAAGAGCTCCTAATGCTATTCGAAGTGCTGAACAACGTCTAGTTTTCGGATTGTCGACTGGTTTGCAGAAGCATATGCTATTGATCCATAGTGGATTCTGGATCTAATAAGGGATCTGTAGAATCGAATAAGTGTAGTTGTATTGGATAGCATCCTCAGTAAATTCAAACCTCCTTGGCACTTTCTGATGAGATGGTGTATGTGTGATTTCCAGTTTGATTTTTGATCAAAAATCATTTATAGAAATTTAATTTCGTCAACAAATTCCAGATTTTTGCCATAGAGTTGTAGTGTTGGTCGGTTCTTGATGTGTGTTTTCGAAAATAGTATTAATCCTGTTTTTTCTGAAGAGAAAGTGAGCCCTGTTGATTTAGACCAGAGTTCTAGCTGTTCTAGGTGATGCTGGAGTATTGAACTCACTGTTTCAATATTCTTTCCTTTGATAATTAGAAGTAGGTCATCAGCGTAAAGTCGTGCTTTCACTGGTAGTTCGACATGTTCTATTACCTGGTTGATTGCTATAAGAAATAATGTTACGCTACTAATAGAGCCCTGTGGTGTACCATTTTCTTGGGTTTTCAGATTCGATAGTCCTCCATTGACTCTAACTCGAAAGAACGTGGTGAGGAAATTTCTGTTGTCTCCATAAGTCATTTATGAATTCGTGAAGATATGCTCTAGCAGATTTAGGTATAGTTTTTGTAGAAAAACAGCTGGTATGTCGTCCAGCCCATTATTCCGATTATTCAAAACGATTTTGTGGATTTTTTTCATGTTTTTTGGTGTTAGTGCATCATTTGGACGTTCACTGCGTTCTGCAACATCAGTGTCCCTACGACCACGTTTGAAGTCAGCAAACCAACGCTTGATTGCTGTTTCTGATGGAGCGGAGTTCTTATAACTTTTTTCAAGCCATTGCTTCGCTTGAACTGTATTTTTTCTCATCAAGAAGCAGTGTAAAATCAAAACATGCAATTGTTTTTGATCCATTGTTTTGAAAATAACTAAAGTGGTGTCACTCTTAGCGCAATAACACAAAAACTTATGAATAGAATATCATGAAATTTCAACAGCTATCTTTTGAAGGTTAGTATTAACCGAAAATGCGGTGAATGCATTAAGACTAGCGCCTATGTGTTAGGCCCAATACTTTTCAGCCCATGTAGCATTATATTGTTGAGAAATTGGTGAGAAGCTGTTTCAATGAAATATTTTTTTCAAAGCCATGCTGACCTTTGTTGATTTCGCACAAGTTCCATTCGACATTGAGCTACCAGTCCGAATTTGGTTTTCTTCAAACATAACATAACCTTTATTCTCATGAATATTTCAATAATAATAATAACTGATATTTACCTTTTCGGTTGATGGGTAACCGGAGTCGTCATCATAAGCTCCGGAATCAGTATACCTTCTCCGTTCCCAGTACCAAATTCATCTTGCAGCTGTTTTACCCCTCTTCCCCCCTTTGGGACTGCCCCAAGGTTATTCGGCACTGTAGGTATCGCTGGTCGGGGTTGAAGAACCAATCCTTGTCCTTCCCCGAAGGTTGTAGAAGGAACTGGTTCAGATAGATCTCCGCTGAAAATGGGATTGTCGAGATCTGTCAATACGGTATCTGTCTCTATTACATCAACTGGAAAAAGAAACGTTCGTTAGTTTTTGGTTTGGCGAAGATTATGGAGATGCACTTACTGACATCACTCAACTTGAATGGATCATCTACCTCGTTGGAGTTACCCACATTGTCTGAAAAAAAAAAGACAGCAGTATATTAGGAATGTAAATATCTCTTATATCTATGCTTTGAATATCGAATACAATGTATGTAGCTTGGAAACTCGTTCGTGATGGAACCCAAAATCTCGAAACAGGTGACCAACAGTATGGCGAGAAGTGGTACGTAAAGCATTACTTTCTACTATTATTTGTTATCATTGACATGAATACAAGATCTTGAGAACCAGAAAACAAATTCGTCCTTCAGATAATGTTTTCCATTCTCAGAGGGTTTTTTGTTATTCGAGTAGGCAACTTCAACATTTCCACAACAAGAATCGGGATTTTTTTTTTTAATTATGAAAGTTTACGTCGTTTAAAAATTATTAATAATTGACGTTGACTTTGGGAAGTTGAAACATTTTTTAGGAACTTTCTTCCTCTTTAAGGATCTGAATAAATGGTTTTGAAACGGAAATTNATCAAGTCCCGGCCAGTTCTATTCAATTAATACCGTAGTACATTATTTTGGCTATTTCGTAGGATTCAGCTAGCGTTTGCAAATGTAAGCCCAAAAAATGTGTTTATTCACATCACATTAGAAAGCTCTAAAGTTATCAGTGTTTCTCTACTATATTATGCGTTTTATATACTTATAAAATTTCCTCTTAAATCATTCTATCTACCAAAAAACTCGCATCAAAATCCGTTACATAGTTTTAGAGATCTAAGCATACATAGGAACAGACAGCGGGAAGCGACGTTGTTTTATACTATGTATTGATTTCGCATAGAAAATACGCCACGTTTACAAAGTGATTCTATGTTGTTGCATGGAAATGTCTACAAAAATAATCACTTTAGATAATTAATTACCTGCTGTTTTCGAAACGCCAATCCTCAACATACTACGTTGAATTCCAACCAAACCAAGGCCACCGACACAAGTTAATGGTATCGCTTTTTACTACGTTCTACGTTTTTCACTAAATCGTCAACAAAAAGTACTAGAGAAATTTTCAACTGATGTATTGAGATTAATCAGATGGTGTTCATTTGCATAGATTTTACTGTTGTTTGGAATTAAATATTCTGAGTCATACACACTTTCCGAGCCAAAAATTACTTTATACACGCTGGTTTCCGTACAGCAATTGATATACGAGGTGTTGTAATAGTATACTGGCCAAGCTTTGAGAATAAACTATTGACAATTGATAACGCCATCTTGTTGAAGCTACTTCTGTCAAATTAGTTGTCATGCATTCATTCTGTTTTGCCAAACCACCATGGACGGATGCAGCATTCAACAACACGTGAAAATATCAAAATTGTTTTATCGAAATGGGTGTTTTGTTCGGGCAACGTACTGCGCGCTTCGCTTGTTTTACGGTCGCTATAATCGTCCTTGCGGGAAGACTATTCGCAATGTGGTGGATAAACTTGAGTTCAATGGTTCAGTGAACGATTGACCAACAACCGTACGTCGACGAAACGTAAGATCTGTCGAAAACAACGCCGCTGTTTGTGAGAGTGTGCAGGGGAATCCAAGGTAGTCGAAACAGATCGAATATCTTCAAAACACATGTTTTCCGAGAAAAATGCAAAAACACGTCGATTTGTAATCCAAGGGGGACATCTTTCAATCATAACCTCAACTGTCATACCTTTCCCCTCTCTCCTCGGTCACTATCGCCCAAACCATTTGAATAGGTAAAGTGGTAAGTGTGACATATTATTAAAAAGGTAATTTGATAAGGAATTAGGCCATGTCAATTTTCGCTACCTAACTTTCTATTTTGGCGCCCTCTTGCGGGAAAAACTGTTCCGTATTCCAAATTATGACACTTTACTTGCAAGCTAATTTGATTTAAAATTCGGTGACAATGCATTATGGAATTTTTCCAAGGGAAAAAACAAAATAGCGGCTCCACAATGGCGGAAAAGATTTGCAATTATGGTCCGATTTTTCCACAAATTCATGTAAATTGACTCAATTATTCTGAAACATTGCAGAAACAATCTCTGAACCAGGTCTATAATCCTACATATTTATAATCTGGGCTGTGATGTGATGAAAAACAGACAGAATTCTCATAAAATAGTATCCCAAAATGACTCACTTGTGATAGGACTACGAAGAAAATCCTGGATGGTGGCGATGTCCGGAGGATATGAAGGTGCCATGTAAATACTGTTGTTGACCTCAACATCGGGAGATGTTTCGTACCAAAAAATTGGGTCGAAAGATGTACTCTCCATGTCAATTTCCCGATTCAGCGGCTGAAGATCTAAATTTGCCTGAAACAGATGGATTAATATAACAACAGTAGTGATATTCCCGGCCTAGTAATCAAAAACTTTAGTATTGAAGATGTTTATCATATCCTAAAAAAAACAAAGCCTAAATTTACTGCGGGACCTGTTCATATTCCAGCATTCATCATTAAAGATTGTGCTTCAGCTCTGGTTAAACCACTAACAACTCTAATCCATATATGCCTGAAAACATCAACTGTACCATCTTTATGGAAAATGTCGAAGTTTGCCCAATTTTCAAAAAAAGAGATAAAAGTGAGATAGAAAATTACAGACCATAAACACCAAAAGTTTCAACCGCTACTGGATGAAACAGATAGTTGTTTCCAAGATTTTGGTATTTTTTTCTTTTTAATTTCTCGCCAGACAATGCTGCAGTTCCAGCAGACTTGGAACTTTTGGCTAGATGGGAAGCCGCGACCGTGTCAACGCAAGTGAAGTCCCATACCACAGGTTTACCGTATTTCCATGGTATGAGAGACATACCATCTGGTCGTTTACCATCATCTCGACTGGTACCTAAGGGTTCTAGATTTGCAGGAACATCCGCTGACAACATAGATCGTTTCAATATGTCGTTCAGTTGGTGATGTCGAGATGTACGCCTTGCACTTCTCCTGCAACTCAAACCATGTGTACCTTTCTCATCAACTATACTACCGCAAACACAAGTATGAGAAACACAAATAGATGAACCCATCCTAAGTCCTACTGCTATTCTGAAAGATTCATCGTCTAATAGTGTTCCAAGAGATGCAACNTTTTTCACTATGACAATTGAACATTTATCAAGAATTGGTTTATTTGTTTGTTTGAGATGTTGATATATTCGAATTTGATATATTTCATATCTTTTCTTTTTCAATCAGCACTACAAGAAAATCTTTATGGCGCCTGTGCAAAAGTAATGATTCACGTTGGGTTTGAATCGATGGAGATTATATTCATTTGGTAAAACTTTCTCAGGAAGTTTATTCCACTCCAAATGAAAGAGTTGTTAAACAGTGAAGATCGAGGTATACTGAGTTGAACCTCAAAACGATGAGCAGCCACAGTGCGTCGCGTATTTCTGATATGCACCGCTCTTGGTGGAATCAAATATGCCAAGTCACTTGGACACCTCCCATGCAATCCAGCAGCTTCAGGGTATGCTTAGGGGCAGAGCTACATGTAAACAATACTCCAAAGAACGTCTGATCTGAGCTCTATAAAGCCAAACCATATTGGTGTCCATTTTAATTCCCAACAGATTATAGAAACAGAAAGCGAAATTGTCTGTCCTAACATTCCGGTTCGGAGACATTTATCTTTTTGGAGAAAGCCGATTCCTGGGTGTTCATGGCATTGAATTGAACCTGGTTACGGTCACCTCAATTGGAAATCACCTCTAGATCCTCATTAAGATATGCAACGTCCTGCTGCCGGTGAAGATGTGCCTCCGTACCCGATGTCCTGGAATCCAAATGGAATAACGAGACAATTGTGCTGTCGTCAGCAAAGCAATGTATTGGATTCTTGATATTTTCCAATAAGTCGTTGATATACAATAAAAAGAGGGTTGGAGACAATATGGATCCCTGGGAAACACCAGTGTTGCTGGTAAAAATATACGAGAGATATCCGTCGACGGCCACACTCAGGAAACCTTCCTTCAGGAAGCTGAAGAGCCATACACAAAAATGATCGGATAAGCTGTAGCATCGAAGTTTATCCAGCAAACCCTCATGTCATACAAGGTCAAAGGTCTTAGAAATATCAAGCGCAACAGCTCTTGACTCTCCATGTTTCTCGATTGCGTTATTCCAAATATAGATAATATACGATAGAAGGTCAGTCAGCGGGAAGCGACTTTGTTTTATATTATGTAGTGATGTATATTTTATGATCAGCATTTCAGTAATATCTGCGGAAATATAGTAAAAAAAACCCAGTTCATTCATCATTATCTTCTCTGAATTGGGACATATGCGATGATCCATTCACTTTCTGCGGTTGGTTGTCTTATTCCCGATTCCATGAATGTGTCGGTTTTCAAAAAAATCATATTGCGGTGTTATTTGCTTCTTTGAGAGACTCTTCGAAAAACTGACCGAGAAAAATCCGAGAACATACGATTAGGAAAGTTTGAATATTAATATAAATACTAGCAGCCTTTGTTGAAAAAACAAAATTATCTTCACAACTATCAACTTTAATTTTCAAATAGGTAAGTACAAATGATTTGCAACATCTGTCTTCAAATCTCAGCAGCACTCAAAATAATATTGTACATAATAATAATTATTATTATTATTTAAATTGATAGGGGTATATTGCAAAGGAGTAACTTTCAGACTCAAACAGGAAGAAAACAACAATTTACATGTAATTGTTGAAATACACGAAATAAAGAAAACTTTGGAAACAACTACTTTTATATGAACATCGAATTATACAAAAACACTTCTTCCAATTCAGTTTGTACTCCAAAGATTCATTATGGAATTGAATCAGATATCACACATAGAATTGCTACACAATATATGAGATGGGCTGAAAAGTTGAAAAGTGTTTATTACCCGACAGTTTAAAACCACTTACCTACAGAGTTGACTGAATATATACTTATAACTACAAATTTAACAATTTGAGAATATGAAGAACAAAAAATATAATAAAAAAAGAGCAAACCAACCTCCTATGTTGTGTTGTGCAGTAATTTATGTAGAAAAATTATTCCAGCAAGTTTTTAGGATAACACGAGACTTTCTGAATTTAATGTTGTGAAAAATTCAAATGGAATACCTCTATCAGGATTGATATCATAAGATTTAAAGTAAATGAATTTTAGGAAACGACGTTGAACTTTTTTCAAATGATGTATTATGGCAATTGTAGAATGGAGACCATAGAACAGAGCCATATATTAAACACTAATATTTACCTTTT